TGTATCTTTCAAACAAAAGTGTGTTAATGTCAGTTAACCAAGAAATGCATGTTGGTTGAATATTCAATGATTTATCAAAAGCTTTTTGACTGTGAAAAACACGAAATTTTATTAACTGATTACATATTAATGGCATTAAAGCAACAGCCGAAAAATGGTTCATATTCTGTTTAACAGATGGAAGACATTTAAATAAAATCCCCTAAAGGCGAATTTTTTTCTCAAACTGCAAAACAATAAAAGCGAGGTAATCACATTATGAAACTATATTTCAGTGATAGAGTGAAATGGAGGTCCGGTAAACAATCTTGTAGAACACCTGTCAACCACAACTTTGTTGATCCGGAATCCGGTGCACACACCCAAACAATAGAAAGACTATGGGGATTAGCTAAATGGCGGAATAAAAAAGAGAGAGGCACGGCCCGACATAATCTGGATTCATATTTAGCTGAGTTCATGTGGCGGCGTACAAATGATAACGGCGATATTTTTAAAATTATTCTAAAATCTATAAGCGAATTTTGGCCTACGGAGACAGGTTGTAACAACAATTAACATCTCATGCATATCCAAATAAAATAAAATAATTTGTCATTTATTGAGTATAATAACTTTCAAGTATATGTCATTTATCCACACACATTAACCTAACCTAACCTAACCTAACCTAACCTAACCTATTTTTAAGGCGATGTGTCCCGATAAGTACCACAAATTTATTACCACATAAATTATAAAAATCATATTGATCTAATGGTTCTGAAGTTAAATGGAGCATTTTATGTGGTTAGATCTATGTTTCATGTCAGCAACACTCTCAAATAAGTTTATTTTGCCTATTTTCAATCCATAATTAAGTATGGAATAATTTGGGGGAGGGGGAGAAATTCATCTAACAGCAAAAAGATATTCACTTTACAAAAATAAATTATTAGAATAAATGGTGGCATCAAAGCTATAAATTTAGTAAAAATATTTAAGAGATTACAGATTTTATATCTTATATGTGATTACGTATTCTCATTAATGAAATTCACTGTGAATATCGAAGAACATATTCTGACGAATTCCACTGTACACAGTGTTACCACAAGGAATAAATATCAGGTTCATGGATCAATTATTGCCGAACTCTGATGCTTTCAGAAAAGTGCATTCTATACAGGAATCAAAATTTTCAGCAGTCTACCATCTAGTCTCACAAGTCTTATGAATAAAAAGTCACAATTTAAAGTAGCATTAAAAATTTACTTAAATGCTCACTCCTTTTACTCTTTTTGTGAATTTCTAATGTTTGACGCATGTTTTTGTAAGGTTTTCTTGCCTTTCTGTAGCATAAATGGGTAGTAAAATTTATTTACTTTATGTGTGTTGATTTATTTGAAACAGTTCATTACTGTGTATGAAATCTTTATGACAAATTCCACAACCTGTTATTTACTAAATTATGGATTCAAGGAATGCACTAATATGTATATATTTATGAAACACTTACCGTCGTATCCCGTTGTATCCTTCATCATCGAGAAAGCCAACTGAAGCTGCAACACTTCTGACTTGTATCTGGGAGATGCGCAGTTCGAATCTCGGCCGGGTTACTTGCTATCCTCACTGAAGATTTCGTCGTTTATCTCATTTTCCCCAGCCGAAAAACTTCAATCATCTACACTTTTATATTCCAAGTCTTTAATACAACACTAAACTGTTAGGTAAAAGTAGCGTTTCGTGAACATTTTACGACAGTCAACTTGTATTATGTCCAAGCAAGGAAAGTTTTCTTTGCAACTGAGCTTAGCTCCTGCACGAAACAGTCCAGCACATGCTGTTCGTCTCCAAGGTCAGTGGTTATTCAGAGCGGAGGGGTGGTAGTGTGTCGATTACCTGACTCAAGCTCTGTGATAGTATGACAAATCAAGCAGCCAAACCCTTTTATATTAATCTTGGTTCATTTCTGTTCTCAGCGGCTGTCTCGCTACATCTCGTCGTATGCGAGACGCAGTTCGTGTAGCGTTGTTTTCATGTGTTTGATTTGTAAACATATTTCTATCAGACGAATTGTTTTAAATTGAGTAAAACATACTTAATATAAATATATATTATAAATGGTTTTGTGTGTGTGTGATAAATGTGAGTTGTAAGATTTTACGTTTGCAATTACCGAAGTGTTTCAAGTGGGTTGTAGTGTGCAGAATCCATTGATTGTGCCGATCTGTAAGTTGTGATCAATTTTATCATCTTTCATCAATACAAATTATACTATTGACCTATTCCGGGTTCAAAGAATTAAAAAAATTGCTCTTGTGTGTTTCGGTCAGCGTCGACCAACTTCAGGATTTAATACAGGTAAGCCTATATTTGTGGATGTTTTAACATTGTTCTGATATCTGTATTAGACTCTCACAATCTTTCCACGACTAGTCATAGAACGAGTACGTGGAATATATCCATTATTGATTTCTAGTGTGGAACTAGCTACTTGTAGATATCAAGCAAACAAGGACAGAAATGTTTGCTTTGTTTACAACATTTCTATCTTACGATGAGTGCTTAACTCGTGTGTGGAACCGAAGGTGTAGAATTATATTGAAAGAGAAAACAGCACTTGTTGCCTTTCTGCGGTCAGGAACTTATTGTGGGAAACAGAACTAGCAGTAGTATGCACACTGCATCTCGAAAATAACCATTTTGGTACGGTCAGTATAAAAGTGATTGCCCCTCAGATCTGATGAGGTCACACTCAGGCGTGGGAAGGCATCGTTTTGTTACAAGACGTGGTAGCAGCTGAGAGGTCATTGCCCTTATTATAATCGCATTCCTTGCCATATCGATAACATTAAATGGCTGAGTGGAACGTAGTTGTTATTTTATCGATAGCTGAATAAGTGACAGTGGCTGGAATTTATCCGTTGGACACTGAGGTCCGCCCATTCTTATATTACATGGGTACCAGTCGCGTTTTCCCACGGAATAAAACAGCCTATGTTAAGAATAAATGGAACTTTACTTGCATTTATTTGCCATTACTACTTTATGGTGCTGTGGTTAGGTACAAGGACAAGTTAACAAGAATTGTGTCTTCAGGCCTATTCTTTACAAAATTATTTATAAGATGGCGAAATTTTGAAAATTGCATAGTTGGACTCATGATATGGGGTTAATCCCCCATCACAAGATCTATACGAAAGAACTCGTACAGTAAGAACTTTAGCAAGAGATGTTCAATAAAGCTTAGAAATGCTTTTCACTTAATCCGAATGTTCAATACCCTACTGAAAATTCTAAATCCTAATCTACAATCTGAGGACAGATCTCTTGGACTTAAAACTTTGTAACATGCAGTGTTATTAAATAATTTATTTATATTTATGACATAGTGACTGGCTACGGACTGGACGACCGGGGTTCGATGCCCGACCGGGGTCAGAGGATTTTTCCTGAAGACTCAGCGTCCACCCAGCCTTCTATCCAATGGGTACAGGGTCCTTTCGCGGGGGTAAATCGCGGCCGGGTCGTGATGCTGACCACTCACCCCCGTTTAGTGCCGAGGTCAAGAATGAGTGGAAACTATACCACCTCCCCCCCCCCAAGCGCCTACATGGCTTATAGTGGGATAGCTTTACTTTTTCTACTTTTATTTATAACATAAATATATCTCGCCATTTTACTTCGGTGAGATGTATTTGGGCGTGACGGTAAGATCTCTGAAGTAAATAGATGTGAATGACGACAATACATTGCCGTCACATGCCCAGTTACTCGTATCTGTTCCGTAGGAGAATGGCCACGTAGGGTACCGTGGCGTGCAATGAGTTCTATCTCAGCAAAACATTGAAAATAAAGTGTAAAGGAGAGCTGAAAGAAATCCTCTTACTTGAGATGCGAATTGCTTGTAATTATCTGGTGCTCTTTTGTGTTGGGTAACGCTCCATAAGCACTGAGAGACTTATTGTAAAGTTCCGTGTTAACGCTGGGAATTTGAAACTTTGTAAGCAGCAAGGAACTCGCGCATCTGCTGTATCGCATTTTTACGTTGTGACATCTGTTATCGTGGGAGAAACAGTTTCGCTTCCACTGGGAAACGTTTTAGCATCCCCAGTCAGTATAGGTTAGGTTAGTTTGTAATTGAACTGTTGGACTGGATTCGTGCGCACTAGGAAAGCGCAGTCCTAACTCGCACGAAAAAAGTCATATGCGAGTGGGAACAGAAAAATAGTAGAAACATGTGGGATACTCTCGCGGAGTACACAACTCTTCCAAATACATTCTTTATAAATTTGTAATTTATTATGATCATTTATCTTAGACACAAATCTGTTTATTTCATCTTATCGAATTTGTCCTCAATTCATATGTAGAGAGAAACTCAGAAATATGTTATTAACAGAACTAATTATCAATAGATAGAAGCAGCATATTGATTTGTGTATTTTAAACATTAGAAGCCCACAAAACTGATAACGTTTAAAAGAAATTACTTCTTAAGTGGGATTTGAGGTTTTGACGGCGGTGAGTCCAAAGATGGCTGTCTCATGGGTACTTCTTAAACTCTAAATGTCGAGAATCCTTATTTATCTCGTCTTCTTCAATTTTCATTGAGATTGATGTTAAGGAAGTTACGATGGGCCAAATATGTAGCTAGAATGGGGACTAGAAATGCGAAACTTTGATAAGTAAACTTGTTGGAAGACGGCTACTTTTAAAACCGAGAAACAAATGGAATAACGATATATTAAGATGGATCGCATTTAATTTGGCTGTGAGGATGAAACTAATTAGAAATCACTCACATTATTGTCCATTTGGCGGGTTTTGTATTAGCGGTGTTGAACACCCGGTTTATACTGCCAGAGAATTACATAATTTTATAACAGTAAACTATAATAATCGTAATACTTCGAAACAGCTGATGAAATAGGGCGCAAGTTACAGCAAACGTACTGTCTCTCCATGCTTCAAGTGTGAGGAAGGTATGAAGTTTGATAAAAGGATTACTGATGTGCATATACACAAAGAATCATTTATTGAAAATATTATACATTACATACGGCATTCTCAAATACAAGCTCGACAGAGAGAATATATATGTATATAGAAGATAAACGTTGAGCAAATTTTAAGAAACTCGGTGTGGATAATGTTCACGCAGCTTCTGCCAACATAAACATGGCAGCTAGTCTAATCCACCCGCAAACCATCATCCTAGTTATCGAATTACACAATGTTTTAACATAAAATACATCAACCAGATCTTCATAATACTGTACAAATATGATTCAATAAAATTGTTTTCCATTAATAAATTTTCCAAACAAAACTTGGACACTTGACAAATCAGATAAGAGACATCCAATGCTTTTAGTAGACCATTTAAAATTGTAACAACTAACAAATGATCACGCAAAGGTTTTGCTAGCCTCAACAGCAACGACCATTCCTTAACGATATTGTTTTATAAACTTACAAATGTTAAATACTGACATTTTATCAAACGTAGAACAACTATTTTTAAGCCGAAGTAAGTGCCGTGTCAGAGATTATATCCCTTATTTAGGACAGAGGATATAACAGTGTACTGCTTGATTGGGACTAACACACACAATTGTTTAGATCAATGTTGAAATGATGCGTCTTTCACAAAAATTGCATGTCGAGTTTTCACATCCGTTAAGAATTTTACATTTGGTGGAAGGCACAAAACTGTCTCGGTACTGTTCTATGGTCTTACTTTCCAGAGATAACGGAATGTTTTACCAGTGTACCAGTATTCTGCCATTTTCTGTGAGACGCGAATTTTGGTATGAATTATCTCAAATACCGAAATAATTTTTCTGTGTTTTACAGTAACAGGTGTTTAATACTACAGAGATACCGAAAATTTTGACAACTATGCAGTCTTTAATGAAAACAAACACAAGCGAAAAGAGATGGTAAAAGATATCTGAAAGGTGTAATCGGTTTCATTATAGCACTAAACTATATTCTTTATATAAATAAATAATATATTAATACGCTTTTGTTTTTTAGGTAATAGCACTCCCCTTTACGTGAAAATAAGCTTCCCTGTATACTCCAATTATAAGTTCACAGATGTACGTATCATCAGAACATTTACTTGTACTTGTGATTTTAATGTAACCCATTAGTAATGCCAAGCTCCTATATCCCTGGAAAATTTGTGTTCGGCAGAATTAAACACAGTTTATACTGGCAGTGGCGGATTATATTCACTTCTTGTGATATCTTAAGTTTTCAAGGCGGTGATGATGGGTTCTGGCACAATACAGACTCGTCAGTAGATGCCAACGTTTCTAAGAAACATAGTCTCCATCTAAGAGGCGACAAAACTTAGAAGGGCATAATCATGTCCACTTCTTACTAACCACTAATTACATGAAGACGCAATGTATAGTTAACTGGGACAAGATTTTTTGACGGCTTTCAAATCATTATATAATTTGTAAATATTCATAGTGCTTAACAATAAAATACTGCTCATGACTATAATTTGAGCTTAGAGCAATTCGTGTTTTGTCTATTAAAACATTCGCCTCCCGGCCAAATTTCAGACAAATTCAGTAGGCCTTGCTGTTGAGACTGTACAGAAATTCGGCGAACAGTGAGAGTTGAAACACTGGTAAATGGAAGCAGCTGTAGCAAAACATATATTTCTTGTGCTATAGACCAACGTAACAGTTTGAGAATCTCAATGAGTTAATATTCTGCACATTCTAAATTTTTTTGAAAATCGATCTAGTTTTTAGTCAGAGTAACGAATAAAGAAATGAGATATCAGAGATTCTCAGGGCGGTGAAATTGTTGAGTGTGGTCTCCTGGGTTATGATTACGTCTAGTTTTGTAGGTGGTTACCAATGTGTCGCCACCATCTTCAGGGTGGAATGATTTAGTATCTTGTTTTGAGAAGGGTAACCAATGGGAAAGGACAAAAATGACAGGGGCAAATTTCATTATCGCTACTCCCCCCCCCCCGGTTCTTCACAGTGCCATCCTTAAATTTAGATCCTTGTAAGGACATAGTAGGAGTTGCACATTACATGGGATCTATGCCAACTACTTTTTTCTGTACCCATTGGTCATATTATTCCTGTATAAATGTCCCACACCACTTTACTTACGAAACACTTGTAAGCGCCTACAAAACAACGCGATGCCATAACGCAGATTATGACCGACAAATAGGACAGCATTTCCTATACGTAGAATACTTTAGGAGAAATGCATCTCGAGAGAACTGTAAGATATTTTGCAAAAAAGTATCCGATCCTTGGTGTAGTGAAAAGATATATCGTGTGAAGAAAATACAGATTTGCGGTAAATTCATGAAAGACGGGAATACATTAATATGTACCACATTTCAAATGCGCAGTCTATACAGTTACATATTGACAGGGAAGTGTGGTATTAGAATAAAATTACAGTTGATTTCAGTTTTGTGAAATTAAGGTTATTATTCAGACATTTAAAACAAATCACATCAAATTAACATCTAAATTCTTAATGTGCCTCCTTGTGTTATCAACTCTCTGTACTTTCAAATTCAAAAAATAAAAAATAGACCCTGATTACAATATACAAAGAGAACAACTACTTAACATCATCACAGAATCTTTCGGTTCCCAGGTACACTTTTAACATTTAAATCCCGACAGAATACCGTCCCTACTCGATTTCCCTGCAAATTAATAATCAGTTATATAGGCTATTATATTTTTAATTAAGAACAAATTATAAGTTGGCAAGTTCAAGTGTATAATTTGAATATTGTGTTTTAAATGTGAAAGTTCAAATCGGGTGTGATGTATAAAAGAAAGCGTTTCACTCCATAAAATGTAACAGGCAAAAGTTGACAGTAATTGAGCAAACGACGTGGAAAATATATGGAGTAACAAATTTCAGCTGCTAGATTCCTAATTGTATGTAGAAAGAAGTTGCTACTGAAAGACTTTTTATTATTTTTATCTTCTTATAAGTATGCACTTACGGATTACAGTTTCAGATACTAAGAAATATGCCATAAATTGATAAAATTGTAGTTTTAAGTTTATAAATGGCACAATATAAGAAATGTAGTAATTTCTACTCAAAAATTACACTATTTCTCCCACAATTCAATCTTTAACGCTTAGAATTATCATGTTACATTCCTCTCCCAAAAATATCGTGGACAATTTTAGCACCATTATTCTTTCCCACTGTCCAAGATTTAAAGAGACAAACAGCTTTTAATAAATACAGCATGAAAATCGCGTATGAGTGTATTGTCGTTTGTTTCACTCGTTGGCTAGAGACAGAATTAATTAACACTTCGCTAGCCAACAGAAGTGATCGCCCCTCCAAGAAAACGTTCGCTCCAACTTCCAGTTGGCCGTGAAAGTAGGCAAATGTCACTTGTTTCTGTAGCCAAAGGCTTCACATTATTTAACAACCAACAAGTCATGATATGTTACAAGTAAGTTACAAATATTACAATGTAGGCCTCATTATAATTTAAATATAATGTTTGGACACAAATTCAGAAATATGTTCTTCACGAACAAAGTGCTACGGAGTGGTGACAATTGTTAGGGAGAGAGGAAGGCGGTGTTGCAAACAGATAAGGAGTAAAAACACTTAATTATTGGGGAAAAAACATGTATGTTCATAGATGCTAACAATTTCTACTACAACATAACATCATTAATAAACTGGTATCATCGTTTTGTACTCTTTGAGGCATATTAAAAATGCAGCCAATTTTTATAATAAAACAAAGAAATTAATAATTAATGTTCATTATGAATCATGAAAATATATTGGATGACATAAATAATAAAGAACAAGTTTGATGATCAAAATATTTACCTTAAAACAATCTACCTCGATAATGTACATTGGCAGTAAATCCAAATTTACAATAAGAATATACCTTCCCTGAAAGAAGGTTTCAAAAAGGGTAACAAAATAACTTATTATGTATTACACTAATCTGGCACAAATATTTATTCCTCTCTTATCAACCGATCCGTAAGACAACACTGAAAAATTCAACATGGTTTCCAACGTGTGAACATGACAGGAAGCCAAAATGAAAGACATTTTACAACTGACGAATAGAGGATTATGAACGAACAGCAAATAATTACTTACACTCATAATGAAAATTATTTGTTTCTCTCTCTCTCTCTCTCTCTGGTAGGTTAAACACTCAACATATCGATTTTTAGAGAGCTATACGTAAGAGTATATAAGCAATATATATATAAATCACAACTCGCCATGTTTAAACCATCTAATAATGCCCTATATCATTGATTACTGTTTTCAATTAATCTCCTATGTGGGAAAGGTCACATAACTATAAAATAATAACAATGTCTGCTTGAAATGGCACAACAGTGTGGCACGTTCTTCGGAGTGTTGTTTCATCCATCTCGTTCTGTTTCGCATAGACAGACATAGAATCATTGCTAATTTAAAGGTAAATTAGTTTTCGTATAGGGATTAAAGTTTATTAAATAATTAAACACGTAAAAAGTGCAAAAAAGGTGGTATAACCTTATAAATTGAATTAAAACACTGGCATATTTAATCTTCAACGGGAAGTAATTGTTGCACGCGAAAATACAACTGTCCGTTCATTGTATTTGGCACAATAAGCAATGGGTAAAAGTTGTAGCCACATAAGGCCTTCTTGATGCTATTTCCGTGGTTAGATGAACGTTATAACGAGCAAGGCGGAAATCTTCTTACACTTAACTGTTTTGGTTGAGCATGTGTTAATTCTGTTATGATTTCATGTCACATTTCTGAAGTCCCTACATTTCGCAATGCAATTAAAGTATGCGTAAGGATTCAACAGTTTGACAATGCGCTAAACTGAAATAGCATCAAGCAGTCTCATTAGAGAGCAAAATATCTTGCATCTTAGCATTGAGTAATGTTTAAAAATGACATAAAGACATATTACTGATATTAATCTCTAATATTTGTTCGTTTGTCGTTATAGGGAATGTTCATTGACATATTCATTTTTACAAATATTTACATTTATGCAGGCAGGTTACGCTTAAAATGAAATAACTCTTGTGAATCTACTAGTTGCAGTTCGGTTAAGTCACTAATTAACATGTGGCATAATTACGCTTCTACATATCAATCTATTTTAATAACAGAGTACATATTAATGGCTTGAATAGTCGTCTATAAATTGCCACCACAGAGAGAATCCTTATGGGTATTAAAATAGAAGTTAAGAAAATATCGGATTATTTTAATCTAGAAGAGCTGAATAAAAATGTAAATAATCCAGTCTGTTCTTAAAAGACTCTTGTCACTTAGTCTCGTTCAAACCGAAAAGGGGAAAGAAATTTTTGTACCACGTTTCTGCAAGAAGAAAATGCCATATATATTTCAGTAAGCATTCAGGTGATCATGGCAGCGAGTATGAAGTTGGTTGTCTTCCGGGCTTTTGCCTCGTGTAGTCTGATTAGCCACTTATAGCCCCGATGGACGCAGCAAGGACATCTGAAACGTCGGTAAACTTCTACCAGATTATACGACGCAACAACCCAGAATATAACCACACTCCTCAGTCATTTCATTCATGACCCGACGAAAAAAATAAATTAATAGAAAAATGTGACACACTTCCAGTGTTAAAAGCATAAAATGAAATACATTCTCCTTACATAACATGACGCTTACACAGACAATAAATTTTTCGTAGCCCGTAACCGCCTAGCTTTTAAACACTGAAAGAATTTAAATCATACGTAACTCAAAATATTTTGCAGAACGCTGTACTCATTAGCTTTACTTGCATAAATCGTTCAGAAGTTAAATTAACCGTTCAAAGTCCAATAGTGTGTGCCCCACTTGCTTCAGCGATCGGTAATAATTAATTTTTATTTGTGTGTTTTGTATGATTCCCACTGTAAACAGCGATTATTTCCTTAAACAGAATTAAAAAGTTGATATATGTAACAGAGACGTGTCGTGTTTTCTTTGTGGTACGGACTGAATTATTAAATATTATTTACATAATCGCCGGCTTCAGAGGGTTGCTTCATATTGACATAACAAATTTTGACTTCACTTTATTATGAAAGAGAAAACTTCTCCAATCTTAACGTCCATACATTCAGCAATACTCATTATTTCCGCGCGGCAACTAATATATAGGACTTTGTGCCAGTTGTGGGCAGTTCAGCCTTGCTTTCGACGTCTTAACGGTCAAAAGACATGACAGTCAGAGTGTAAGTTAAATTTAATCCAGTTCAACGTGTGTGGACAACCTCGCAGTTCGGCCTTGTATTTGACATATTAACGGCTGCCAGAATTCGTATAAAACTTTAATCACGTTCAATACGGTATCCTTTACGTTGTGATGTTCACGCCCCAATATCCGAGCCTACACGGTCGTCATCTGTGACGCACAGTGATTGAATTTTTAGCACAAGGTCTATAATAGATATCAATTGGGCTGAGTGATTTATCGATTTCTAACAGAATAAATCATGCTGGTCCCTTATACGGATTTTAGTGGGCCGTTGCCTAGTATTACTTAACTTCTATACTTAAGTAATCAGAAGCAATTTCTAGTATGTATCATTTAAAGTCGACTTGGTCTTCGTGGGTGACACTTTTCTTGCGCTCAAAGACGAGATACTCAAATGGCCGCGGCCAAAGGTGGACACTGGAATTGCGTAATAGGCAGGCAGGACTGGTAGATGGCTGTCTTCTTCGTTGTAACTCTATATATTCTGGTTGAATTTCACCAACATTTCAAATGATAACTGGTCGCCCTGATGATGGAAGCATTAAAAACCTCTGAAACGCTGGTAAACTTCTACCAGAATATATAGAGTTACAACCCAGAAGACAGCCAACTTCGTAGTCATATTTATTGGCCTGTTACAGATCATAATTTTGTGTTTAATTTAGCGAGAAACGCCAGAAATCGTTCTGGTAAAGTGGAGGGGAAGTGGGAAAATTTTGGTACTGCTACATTACAGGTCCAGTGAATAGCCAAAGACACGTAAATCAAATATAGTAGACCTGAAGTTCAAAAACATATAAATACGTAATATTTTAACGCTGGAGTTGAATTACGAGTAGAATAGTAACGTATAGGCTGATTCTCATAACTTAATTTTATGTAAACAGCATAAAACCAGTGAACAGCAAAGTCTAAAGCAAAAAAAAAGCTGACGCATAAAACCTAAAAGAAAGGAGTGATGCTTATTTGGAATATAATTTTAATTCGTGAATTTTATAATATTTTAACACTACAGTTTAGCGCGTTGTAAAAACAACAGATTTTATTTGAACACAATAGCTTATAGAAACTTTAAAATGGTTTTTTTAACTCCACATATTGAATGACGATATATAACGTAAAGGTCTAAGGTGTAGATAATAATAGTTTTGTCCAACGGTTTAATATAGAAATGGATTATCTGAAACATCGGTGTAATACACACAGTTGACTTTGTGAAATAATTTTTAATGAGGCGAGAAAATGAGGATGACTATTTTTTCCGAATTACATACACAAATCTTGTGCCAAAAAAAAGCTCGTAATGAACAAAAAACCACTTTAAGCTTTGCGAACACTAACAATAAATATTAAATTCTATAGACAAATGACCTTGCTCCTGACATATTAACGAGAGTGACCCGATTCCCTATTTCCTCTCTCGAAAATCGATAAGGAGTTAGCAAGGTCGAGACGCGTCGCGGCTGTAAACATCACTGACTTGTGCTGGCCTCTGGCGTCCTCCATGACGTGGAGATGTTAAGTTGAACAATAAGAGCTTTATTATAATTTTGGCATTTTATTTTGTGTTGGTACAATATTGGAGAGTTTCACTCAGTTATCAAAGACTGGAGGGAACTTTGTAACATTTCACTTCAAATTATGGAAGAATAAAGGCTTCAAACAGGCAAGGTATTTCCTTCAAGATTTTATACTTTTATATCTCGAAAGTGAGCTGTGCCATGGTGCAACCTACATTATAATACTGTTTTTTGTTTCTTTGAACGTTCCATAATTTCTTCCACTTAATTTCAGACTATTTACCATTTCAAAATGTGTCACTTAAAAGTGCTAACCCCATTTTAGGATGTTGCTATCTAACTATAGCACTAACTACCTAACTAACTAGATGGCTTACCAAACCCGAAGGTTCCTCACCTAAGGCCCGTTTCACACTGACGACCGGTCGCTGAACGACCACCAGGTAGAAAAGCTAAGTACGAGCTTACACACGAGGGCGACCACGACCAATGGCCGCCGTCGACCAACAAGAGTTGAGCGACGCACAGGAGACCAACGACCACGAGATACATAGATGGCAATCACGTGTTCACATTGCGGGCGACTCAGTCAGCGACCAGAGCTCAAAGACGTGACATATCCATTGTTTCTTGTTTTCTCCCGTCTTGTTCATGTCACTCAAGTGATCAGTATAATATGAGTTTTGATACCGAAAGATTTATTTCGGCCGTAGAGTCACGAAGAGCCATTTCGGACCTTGGAAGTCCCAATTATGCAAATAGGGAGTTGAAAAAAGGGTGCACCTAATGTTTTCTACTACTCTTTTTCCTGTTTCTTTTAGTGGAACGAATTTTTATCATTATAGTGATCTCCTCGACGTCCATACTGCTTGAATGCTTCCAAAGTACTGAGGCTGAGGCCTCTGTCTGCGCTGGTTTCCTCGTTTGGTCGCTGATGGTTTTGGTCGTTCAGCGATTGGGTCGCCGGCGACCGGTCGACAGTGTGAAACGGCCCTAATTAACCAAAGCCCCCACCGGACCCTGTCCCGGGCCAACAAAATCCAGTCTCCTTCAACTCCTATCTCCCATAGATCCCGCCTGAGATTATCCTCCCATCTACGTCTAGGTCTCCCCAGCGGTCTCTTCACCTCAGGCTTCCCATCTGCTACTGGCACTAACATTTACAAATCTGTAAGTCAAGTGGAGGACAATAAAGGGATCGAAGACGGTTATAATTTGCGAAATGAAATCAATGAAGAGTCTCTGGTAGACAGAAATATTTTCACTATATTAAGCTCCATAACTGAAAGCAAAATTGGAGACATGAAATACAGTAGCTTTTGTACAATTTAATGTTTATTTATAGATGTGGAAACGGAGATGTAGTTTAATTTGATTGGTTTATCACCTTCTGCATAGTGCGACGTTATAATATTAAGCGTTTCCTGCTTGCATCAAAACCGCTTGATAACAGTTATAAATAAAAGAGGAAAATTGGAAAGCATTTCAAAATCTGGTTCAGCAAAATACCTTAACAAGATTTGATTTTAACCGCCGCGTTACAAATTAGGCCTTACCACGAGCCCAAAAAACAAAAACCAACTACAATTGCTTTCGTCCATCAGCAGTAGCAGAGGAAGATATATCACGGCTTATTAAAATTCTACACTAAAAACAACCAACACGTGACATGACAGACGGCCAACACAAAAAGACGCGGGCACAGTAAAAATACTATTTGTAGAGCAAGATGTCTTTGTAAGGGTTCGAGATTATTAGTTTCAAGTAAAGAGATTCAAGTTTGGACAAGCGTTTTGTAACTGCTAGATATATTTACTTTTGTTTTTAATCAATGTGCCACCCCTCCATAGTTTTCTCAAGTAATTGTCCATCTATAGGTGTATAACGTACAAGCCACATGGACGTTTTGGAAGTTAAACTGAAAAAGTTTTACTGCAGGAGGAAAACTGGCAATTAGAATCTAGTTATAGTACTTGAAAGCGAGTTGCGTAAATCTGCGCCTTTACTGTTACGCCATTTTGAGCTCCAGAGCGCAAAACAGTCGAATCTATATTTATGGGGGAGGAGGCACTAATATAAGTGAGAACAGATTAATAAAAGCATGCAATAATATAAAAAATTGGCTTGTCATTCACATAGTTATGAACGGGATTATATTTTAACAACCCATCGGGGAAGAAACATTCTTGTGGAGAGTATGGTATTTGATGAAACAAAGCACCTTTTTTTAAAAAAATGTATATACAATGATAAACCGCAGTTGTTACAATCGGCCGACGGTGTATTTTGTACACGTGAGTTTGAGTCAACAATTTCTTGCCATATACCATCGAAGAAACTTAACATGACAACATCAATGAAACAAAGTTAAAACTTCCCGAATTCCAAGCGAAGAAACCGATTGGTTTAAGTGTCAGCCTCATCACAACCTCCTCTTATTAGAGTACATTCATGAACCCCGGTGAGCATTCATCATATTTAACGTAAACCTACAATTCGCTTGCTTACATTCTACGGGCATACAACTCAAGGAGTGTCACATTCTTTTCGGCGCAGAGGTCACTGTACGCATGTCAATGTACATTTTGGTCCAAAACTCCCACTCATACAAACTGTAAATCTTACTCAGAAAAGCACTTTTTTATAAAGGTTGTGAGAATGTCCTGCCCAACCTTTAAATACCTGTTTGCTACGGATGGGACCAAGATGAACAATGCCATTTACACTATTGTAATTATCATGCAGCTACAAATATACTGGTGCGCTGCCTTACTGGTTCTCACGTGTTAAACGGGAGATTTTTGCCATGCAGTAAACATGGCGTAAAATGTACGTCAGTCACAATCATCTTCGACAGAAGAAGTGTCCATGGGCGAGTGCACGGACAATGAGCTGAGCGCCTGAGAGGGAGAAAGTGATATATCAGAAGTGATCACGTGGTCCTCGACAGTTTCGGAGCTAGAGTGACCACCGCCACTACCTGGTTCATATCGCGCGTGGGTCCTCATGTGCCGCGTGATCATATCCCGTCGGCACGCAGCGTATGGGCACTGTGGACATTTATACGGCTTCTCGCCCGTATGCGTGCGTTGATGCGTGGAGAGGTGATCCGAGCGCGAGAAAACCTGTCCGCAAACCCTGCACGTGTAAGGTTTCACACCCGTATGGAGGCGTACGTGTCGAGTTAACATGTCGCTGCGCGCGAACGACCGCTTGCACATGCCGCAGAGGTAAGCTTTGGCGGAAGAATCAGGGGTATGCTGTCGCGTCTTGTGCCTCGAAGCCATGTGCTTAGCTAGCCGATCGTGGAGGCTGAACATCTGGCCACAGTGGGGGCACACGTATGCCACGTCAGCACCGGGTGGCATCTCCTCTACTACGGGAGACACCTCAATGTTATAGCGCACTGCCACAGACTCCTTCGTGGTGGAAGATGCAACGTCTCCTTTCACGATGGGCACAGTGACGACTCCCCGCGGCGAAAGATAACCCGGTGGCAGCAACTGCATCGGCGGTGGAGGCAGCTCTTTGGGTGGAGGCGGTACGAAGTCCGATCTTGCATTTCTCGCCACTCGCTCACGACTCCCCTTCATGGACAGATCCAGCGGTGAATCTTGCAGCGAAGAATGTTCCGACTCCAGCGAGCCTCCTTTTCCATGGTGAGACATTTGCTGTAAAGTGGGAGGATGAGACATCGTTCTGCCGCGCTGCCCCAGCACTGTTCCTGGACTCTGCGCCCCACTCACTGCGTTCCCTTTCTCCAACCAATCCGGAAGGTCCGAATCCGAATGGTTCCGTTTGTGGAATACATCTGGGTACTTGGTTTGCAGGAAGCTTTCGAAACTCTGTGTAGGAGCAACTATTGGAGACTTTGGGGTTTGAGGATCAACGAAAGAAGGCGAGAACAATCTGTCTTGGGCTTGTGGAAAGAGGCCACTACCTATCGGGCATAAAGTGCAGGGATAACCAGAATAGCTGGGCTGAAGACTGAAATGCTGTTTCTCATGTTCTGCAGGAGGCTCAACAAAATTACGGACTAGTGACAGCGCTGGAGGAGGGATGCAGATGTTTCCACCATCCATCTTCCCTTCAGTACTACTGTCTTTAATATTCAGTGGGCTGAAACTCATTCTGGATGAGTTGGGCGACTTGTCGGAGGAGGACGCTGGACAAAACACGTCCTCTACTTCGCTCGAGATGGCGCCGTAGTGATAACGCTCTCTGTCCGCGCTATCACAGCGGAGTTCTTCTTCACCGTGGTGGGGCGCCATGTCTCGTCCGGCCTGGTCCTGAGGCTCGGGGTGGCGACCACTGAACATGTGTTCCGGCGTCTTCAGAACATGGGCCGGCGCTCTGAACTCATTCTTGTCGATATGGTTGTTGTTGTTGTTATTGTGGGCGTTGTTATTCGGTGACCGCTGCCCTGTGCAGGACACTTGAATCGCGAGTTTGTCTACCACCTGACTCAGACGCTTTCTTTTCCCCTGCTTGTTGTTTCTGCAGTTGTTATTAGTGGCGTATGGGTGGTTATTGTTGCTGAAATTCTTGTCACCATGTCGCTGGTCTGTCTGCACGAGATTCTGAGTTGTTGCTGCTGCTGTTGTCGCCGTCGCCGCCGCAGTAGATTCAACCTGGGTCTCGGCCATCGTCATCATCACACGGGGGCGTCGGGACGCCGCGTTCCCGCGCCCCACCTGTCTTCTCTGTGGACGACAGAGCGCGCACTGGCAAAGCCCCCAGGCCAAGACCAATTGCTGGCGTCAGAATTGCTCATTGTAAACACATTGGATGGCGCAGCACTGTCCCAGGTACTGATAATATTGCATGAACTGGATGCAGAATGCACACTGGCAAAAATACATACGCAGTGTCCTCTACACTGCAACAGCTGAGCAGATACTCCACCTGGAACAATAAGAACGCTTAGTGAAACGATCGTACAACCCATGTGACAACTTCAGCAGTAGGCCTACTGTGTGCTCATAACAAGAATCTAAACCATTACATGCTTACATTTCGAAGAAACCGTTCCCCACAGACGTTTAAATGTAGACCTGCATACAATCGTTGCACAACTTAGACCGTCTTGCCAGTTCTTTTTTCTTAAGACGTTGTTATTCATCAAAATAACAGATTAAATTATAGTTTGTAGACTTTAATGTTTGTGCTTCTGGACTGAATGGTAGCAAATTGGATGTCCGCTAGCTGGCTCTTATAAACACGGTAATGAACCTTCATGCATCGTAAAATGCAGGGAATCCTCGACCATCTGAACAAGTATTGGTTTCTAATGTTAATGGAAGAAGAGGGGTTTTGATAACAGGGTACTGCGGAGAACATATGGACCCCCAAGTTGGATAAGTTACAGGAGGCTGGAGAAGACCGAACATTGAGGAACTCTACAATTTGTGCAAGTCAAAGATACTAATACATTTACATCGAGGAAGACGAGATATGTTAGTCATATTGCGCGCATGAGTGACATACAGGCTATTTGGAAGGATTAAGGGTGGGTGGAAAAATGAAATTAAAATTTATCTTGAGGAAATAAGGCGGAAAGTTGAGGATTTAATTCATAGGGGTCAGGAGAAGGACAGGTGTCGGACTCCGACGAAGACAGGAATGAGCCATTGGTTTCCATAAAAACCTCGTAATGCAGTGACTAGCTGAATCAGTGGCAGTTTCTCAAGAAGGACTATTGCTCATGTAGTTAGTTTAACATACAATTTTATGAATGGGTGTCGATCCGTGGAACCACTGGAAGACATGTCGCCAGAGACAGGAGAGAGTAACCGATATGTGAAGCTGTGGGAGGATAGCCAGCGCATGCAGTGACTGCAACGCCGTGAGACATCAGAACACGTGTCTGCAATGTGGTGCACTGCGGACAGTCTGCTGCGCTCGAGTAGGCGCGAGGAGCGATGCGGGGGCGAGTGCCGCGTAGTCAATACCTGCCAGCAGTTGTGACCCACTAAGCGTGACCACTTAAAAAACACACATCCATCACGTTACTGAACGTGGTCAACGAACCTCATCAGTGTCCTGGAAACCAGGCCCCAGAGATCGGTTGTTCCGTCTCATAATTTTCGTGGTATTCCTCAGTCCCTCTGGATACATTTTCGGTTGATACGGAATTAGCCCGAACGTCAGAATCGAGTGGTTAACGCTCCTGTCTCTTGTTTGGGAGGTCCCGGGTTCAAATTTCGTCCCAGCAGCAGATTATCTCTACGTTTGTAGTGGATTTTACTCAGTCCTTCCAGGCAATTCACCGGGATAGGTCATGTCCACTTCTTCGCACCTGCTTTCCAGTTTATTACTTACCATCCTATCTTTTTACACTGAGCTTTTATGAAATGAGTCGTAAAAATACCAAGAAGAAAGAAATAACAAAAAGGTATAAACTTATAACCAAAGCGTTGAGACATTTTCGCAGTGGTCAGTGACGTCAGACAACCATCTCATCGACTTAATATTATCTCACAAGTTAACGTATGGGGGCAAAAGGAGAACTACTTTAGACCCAACTCTCTCCCCTCCAGCCTCAAAATACTTGCGCCATTCTACTTCGTGTCACTGATACTTAAAAATAGGTCGTGAACATTTCCTTCCACGTCGTTTCACCCGATAAATTAGTCGTCCTGCCACTCGAGGAGATATAACAGATGACCCAAGAAATGTACCATACCAAGCAGTAGTGCCTGCCATCAAATTAATTTGTTACGATAATAAGGAAAGAATCTCGTTATCACTCACTCTTTGATAACAACAGGAAAAGCAAACGTCGATAACACTAAAGCCCGCAACTGGAAAGACACCGAGACAGTTCAGTTAAGTTTAGATCTTCACCACATACTCAACTATCTTCTTAAACATTCTAATATCACCATTCAATCTCCCACTTCAAACCCCTTCCAAGAAGTACTGCCATTAGAATTCTGTAGGACCTCCCCCCCCCCAAAAAAAAAGTAGACTGCGTGTCAGAAGCAATTGATTTATTCATTTTAAGAGTACTAGACGAGCTATATAAACAATGAACTTTCCTTTCTATGAGCCGTTCTTCAGTAATTTCTTTATTTTAGAATAAAGTGTATATGTTCTTCCGCACTTATTTTCTAAGTCACTGTAAGGTAGATCTATGTTTGTCCTTTTTCTACAACTATATTCAACTAAAGAACTTTGTTGTTTATGAGTTACAATCGAAGACAACAGAATAACAATTTAATGTATCTATGCTTCCCTTGATTTAATCAGGAAGTCTTATATTTGATCAATTTTACTCTCAGGCGATTAAGGGAGGAAACGTTTGATAATTATTTATTAACTGTTGTTATATCGCATTCTGCCAAATTTTTGGCACCCCGAATATAGCGCGGGCCCTTGTTTTGAAGGGTTTAAATAAAATTAGGGCGTGGGTCTTGGTCTTTTGGATACTGGGATTGTGGTTTCGAATCCCTCTCATGGCATGGAGTGTTCGTCCTCAACTTTCGGTGTTGTGTTCCCTCCTATCTTGTGTAGGCAGAGCTCTTAAGATGGAACGACCTCCTCTTCTGAGAAGGCTTACTAACTCTCGGGAAATATGGTAACCCTTTCCAGAAGACAACAAAAATTAATTCATGATTTGCACATAAATTCCAAAATTCTGTAATTTGTTCTCGTCACATGTTACCAACTAGAACAGCTGCTACCAAATAATGGATTATAGTCTACTTAATACTATACCCTCCCCACTAGCAACTTACTATTCCTAAGACTCAGTCAAGCTACGGTTCGACTGTAGTTACATAGTCCGCCATTCAAGCAGGAATACGGAGCCAAGTTCCTTATCTGCATTGTCGATAAACACTTCAGGAGCGAGGGGTGGGACGTAGAATACAAACAGAAATAATTTTCTCAGACTAAAAACAACTTGGCATTTGACATTCAAATGTCTTGGTACTAAAATTTAAGACTTTCAATGAATGATATTTTTAACTTATAATGAACGACATTAATCAGCACAGGTCTCAGTGGAAAGGACGCAGTACCAGCTTCTAATGTTTTCATCAGCCGCTCCAATTCAGTGTCGTGGAAAATTTCAAAATATCGGTCCCAGTTCTGTTTGAAAAGTGTCGATTTTTTCTGGATTGTAACGCCGTATGGACTTGTAAGTAGAAGGATACCAACTTTGCCGAGACAATATTCTTTCTCCATCTTAAGTCCTTAAAATGGAGACATTATTCTTCTCCTAAACTCTGATATCTACTAACAAGTCCACACGGCGTTATAACCCAGAAGACCAATATCGAACGACACCTTCACTACCTTGAAAACGGAAAACTATTTGAGACCTACATTGTAAAATTAAACTTTATTCTCCTTCTGCATCAATTCTTATTGAGGGGTATGTTCTACAGACGCAAGGCTCTAATACTTGATTCACGATTCGTTTCATAATTCTGTCTGAAAAATATTGAAATTAAATACATAAAATGTGAAATTTAAGGCAACGAAATTAATAACGCAGAAGGAATCACACATAAGTGTTTCTTTAGTATGTCAGTTCTGAGGACTTATATGTGAGCTAATTTAAATCGTCATATGAATTAATGCTTTCCGTTTAGATACAGACTAACACCTGCCTTCTGCTGTAACAGCAGGACCTCGTGTACGTAGGGAAGCGAACTACCAGGAGTTCCCTTCTCTACGTCACTGAGAGCTAACTGTTTCTGTGTGTGACTGACTGCCTTGTCGATTTCAAAGAAAATATAAGCAGTACACGATATAGTTTAGATACCAAAACTTGATGAAAACGCAGTTTGTAATTATATAATTATCTCGGCTTTGTGTGTGTGTCTAATAAATGTACTGTAACATATCTTCTTGGTGATTGACTGGTATTTCTTGAAAGTTGGTGTCATTCAGTCGGTAAAAGTTTATTGTCTTCATAAAACCAGCTGTTGACCTTGTTGGAGCTAGTTTGATCTACTTCTGACCTTCGCCTCCTGCTTGTCAGAGATTAATTTTCATATCCTGCTATCTATGCCTAGGTTTCCCACATGGTCTTTTACATTCAGTACTTTCAGTCAATAATTGTACTAAAGCCATCTTTAAATATTTTTATCACATTCAGGTAAAATATTGGTAATATTGACGAGCCTTGGTTATTACTGTCTCGTTAATTACTAGTTTATAATTAATTTCAAGCGCCGTCGTGCATTCATAGTACATGGCGTTGTTACAATTCTTTGTTTCGGAGCAATGTAAAATTGTAGGTAGATGCCAAAGATTCGGATAAATATACTGTCGATTCTACGCGGCGCCAAAGCCCAGAAGATGATCTTGATCATGATCTTCACGGCCGTAAAAATCTCAAAGTGCATGTCCGTAACACGAACATTTCTGGACAATGTGTTAAAATTTGTGTACAATAAAGCTAATTCCATGATCGTTTAAAAAATTCGTGATGGGTGTGATGGTGGAAATGCCTTCCGACATCAATAATTCATGCTGGAAGGTGGGAGATAATAGAGGTTTATCGCTAGGGCTACACTGTGTGTGGCAGAGGTTTGAAATCCATTACTCGGGTCATGATGACAATCTCTACACGCGTACCACAGACATCAAACACACTACGTCACGTATACCGGTTGAACCCCACCCACTCTACAACGTATTAATACGCCCCAGATTCGCGTAATCCATAGCAGTGGTAGATTTCGGGTCTGAGTGTCGTCTGACGCAATTTCAAGTGCACGGTACAGTCATAAGACGTCATTGGAAACTGCAATTGCAGTTTTATTCCTTATCACAAATAAAAATTGCTTACCAAGCGACATATAGGGAGGCAAATCACGATAAAGTTACAGTGTAATGGATTGGAAGTTGTTGGACATAACATCAACTCATTCAGTCATCGCAATAGTGTT